CGATCCCTGACCCCCCGGCCCGGCCGCGCGCCTTTAGCGCTGCGCCCCAACAGGTATTTCAGGGTCCCCTCGCCCTCCCAGCGAGGCGCAGAGCGTTTTCCTCCTGCTTGGGCTGTTTCCAGCTGCCTCCCCAGCGCGAAGAAACGCAAACAATGATTTGAGAGAATTACAATCGCTCTTTAAAAAGTGACGAATCCAAAATGCAGGGCACAGCTGTCTCTTAGGAAAAAGAAGTTGCAGGTACTTTTGGAAGAATCGCACTCAGGTGGTCAGGCACTCAGCTCTCTCTGGATTTGTCCTTGAAAGCCCCACCTGAACGCTCCTAACATTCATTAATTTACTTTGCTTATATTTACTTGTTATTTCTATTGTAAGTGTAGTGAGTATGAGGAACCTAAAACGCTCTTTAAAAGTGTGCTCTACATCGGGCAGCACAGAATCATCTTTAAATCAGACCACAGGTTCACCGCTTCTTGAGAGGCGCTAGACCCTGTGGATTTAACTTCACATGCTTTGTGCGTTTTTCATTTGGATTAATTTAAATAGCTTTGTTTTGAAACTACATTACACACTTTGGGAAACTGGAGACCTGAGGTGGTGACAAACCAGGACTTGGAATCACTGAATAGGACAATCGGTGCTTTATTCTAGTGTTCTTTGAGCATTTGAGCATGAAGCTGCTTCTACTGAGAAGTACTCACGTGGATACCACATAACAAAGATGTGATTAATGACGGAAAAGCACACTGCGAGTGGACTGCTCCATGAGCCAGAATCTGTGTATAGGAATAGTCTAGCTCCTAAAATATTCCATTTACAATGTAATGGATTTGGGACATTGGTCCCTAAAGGCATCTTTGTTGGGGAATGTCCGGTTGGATATTGCTTTTTTTTAATTGGCAAAAGAATTGTGAAGTAGGTTGGGGGGGTAATTTAGAAAAATGAAACATCTTCATACTCCTTTTATGTCTTTAAATCCTGCAGCTAAAGTGTATTCGTTATTATAATTTTATTAGGGTTAGTATTAGGGTAAACCCCTGGGAACTTCCAGCCCATCTTTTAGAGGAGGAAAAGGAGCCCATCGGGAGATGGGAGAGCGCCTAGCACTTCAGGCAGTAAACGAAGCCTGAACGCCATAGATGCAGAGTCGATGTTCGGCCTCTGCCTTTGACCTCTTTAAGACTGTTCAGAGGGGAAGAAATCTCTCCCGCTCGCCCTGTCCTCTGGTGGCCGGAAGGTGTTACTGCAGCCCCAATGGGATTACTACCTGTGTGTACTCCAGGTAAACCTCTATAAATCCACTAACCAGAGACCTGCTGTTTTTCCAACAGTTTCAAAGGCATAGTTGGAGAGGATCTGCATCTCCAGTCTGCTTAGTTGGAGGAGTTGGGATTTAGAGGAAGGCAGGAAAAGAGAGAATCTTTGTCCTAGAGGTGGAGAGCATGGATCTTGCCTGGATGAAATACATGGCAAGAATTTATGGAGTACTCTTTATATGCTGCAGCCCCAGTCGCCTTACATCTTGAAACCTGTCTCTCCTTTCTTCATTTATACAATTAAATTGGAGTGCCGTTCGTGTGTGGTGCTGTGATAGCTATTACCCAGCCTCCTAGTGTGTATCATCTAATTAGGGAAACATGACATCTATTAAAACTAATTAAAAACTAAATTAATGATTGAGTAGCATACAATATTGGTTAAGAGTTCAGTGGAAGTACGGAGATTCTAAAAATAGAGTTACCATGTGATCCAGCAATCCCACTCTTGGGCATGTATCCAGACAGAATTCTAATTTGGAAAGATACCTGCACCCCAATGTTCACAGAGCACTACTTACAATAGCCAAACCATGGAAGCAACCTAAGTGTCCATCCACAGATGACTGGATAAAGAAGATGTGGTATATGTATATATATATACACAATGGACTACTACTCAGCCACAAAAAGAATGAAATAATGCCATTTGCAGCAACACGGATGGACCTAGAGATTGTCATACTAAGTAAGCCAGAAAGAGAAAGAAAAAGACCACATGATATCACTTATATGTGGAATCTTTTAAAAAATGACATAAATGAACTTATTTACAAAACAGAAACAGACTCACGGACACAGAAGACAAACTTATGATTATGGTTGGGGGAAGGGGACAGGGAAGGATAAATTAGGAGTTTTGGATTAGCAGATACAAACTACTATATATAAAATAGATAATAAACAAGTTCCTAGGGTATAGTACAGGGAACTATATTCAATATCTTGTAATAAACTATAGTGGGATAGAATATTAAAAAAATATAAATATATAGCTGAAACACTATGCTGTCACCAGAAACTAACACAACATTATAAATCAACAATACTTCAATTAAAAAAAAAAAGAGCCCAGTGGAGAAAAGCAGCGATGTAAGCTGAGGTTGTCAGGGAAGGCATCGTCTGAAGAGCCTTGACCTCATCCTCAGAGGACAGTTAAGTTTAGTTTGGGATAAAGAGGGCTCAGTGGAAAGACTCTTCTAGAGGGAAAATGACAGAAGCAAAGACCTGGAGAGGGAATGAGTAAGGGGTATTTAGGTGAGGGATGGGTAGACCCTTCTAATAGTAGTAGAGATTGCTGTGTAGCAGTTAAGAATTAGGCTAAATTTAGAGGCACATTACAGAGGCACATGAATATTAGGATAAATAGCTTGTTACTAGTCCAGCAAGTAAACATTGAAAAGTTGACTTCACTAAGGAGTACATTTCTACATTATGCTGTACACCAGAAATTGACACAACGTTGTAAACTGACTATACTTCAATAAAATAAATATATATAAATAAAAATACATATATAAATAAAAAATAATATATATATAAAGAGTACATCTCTCCTTGTTCTGCTAAACGAGCTTCTATATATGCCAACAACAAAGAGGAACAAATTTAAGACATTACCATTTACAATTTCTCCAAAGAATATGAAACATTTAGGTTTAAATCTAACAAACCATGAATGAGATCTGTATGCTGAAAATTATAAAATGCTGATGAAAGAAATTTTAAAAGATCTAAATAATTGGAGTGACTTCCTATATTCATGGATTGGAGGACCCAATATGGTAAGTATGTCAGTTCTTCCCGAAGTGATTTATAGATTTAACACAATTCCTATCAGCATCCCAGCAAGGTTTTTTTGGGCAGGCATAGGCAAGCTTAACCTAAAACTGCTTCCAGCATGTTTAAAGGGATGAGTGAGTGCTGGATTCCCCAAAGGGAGGCAAAGAGCTTATGTACTCAGGACACCAGCAAAGCAGGCGCTCCAAGGTCTTAACAATCAGCTAATCCAGAAAGGAGCTCTTTTTGTTTCAGTACACGGAAGTTTATGGTTGAGCATTTGTTTTGGGTTGGAGTTAAACATGAGGGAGGAGCACCACATTTTTTAGCTGGAATTTGAGATCGAGGAGGAGTACCATCATCTTTAGTG